ACTGCAACCACGCGCGCGGCGTGAGCCCCACGCAAGGAGACCGCACATACCACATAACTAAGAGAAAACTATTTCATATATCACCAATAGGCTTGGCATGGTTCAGGCATGCTATATATATATATATATATATATGCAGGGCAAACGCTGGGCCAGTGTAGGCGTGGTGTGGTACATCCGTAAGCCGTCAGTGCGGTCGGATCCCCACCTCGTTGCAATGCATGTCAAACATACCCAAGCCAAACTTGACGACATGAAGTAGGCATGGTCAGTACATGAGCCAGTCACGTATATGTAGGACACACACTAGTCACTAGGCATTATGAAAGGTGACTTGGTACATGCGTAAACCATCTGCACGGCGCGCGCCCCGCAGAATAGAGACAGCAAGTGGGGCTCATTCGCGCGCATTGAAGACGCCACTACTACGCGCGTAATATTGAATTTGTACACAGCCATGCTTATCTTAGGCGCGCCAAGATATGGAATCTGTGAATTGCCATTCCGGGTTAAACCAAAAGTACGGCATGCGCCCCGCATGGTTGACGCATTAAGAAAATCGCATGACAACATCATTCTTAAGTAACGAAGGCATACTTGCGACATGCCTCAGGCGCAAACATTCATTTTCAGGGCGCACGCTTCGCAATGGTAAGCGCGATTTGCTCCACAGTGGAATCCTGCATGCAGCGCGCGTTCCACAAACATGAAACACGCAAAACGTATTCTGGGCACGCTGAGGGCATCGTTAATATTCCTCAGACATCAGCCGGGCACAGAAGAACCAACTTAGGGCACGCGCTTTGCAATCGCATGCGTGAGCCGATGCAATATGAACGAAAAGTGCCCAAAGCCCGCGCGTGCGATTCGTTGGCAAGGCATGACCGAGACACGTAATAAAACATAGTGAGTGTAGAACCAAGGCGTAGCTCAGACACAGGCGCGCAGACTTAGCACGCGTGGTCGGCATTTGCAAGCGCGTTCTGCTATAGACGGAACCAAATTTGATACTGGGATGGGCAGGCGTGGATCACCGCCGAGAGGAAGCCAGGGCAGGGCAGGGCAGCAGGTACCCAGACACGCATGTGTCTTGCATAAGGTTTACGCAGACGCCTGATTTTGCAGGAGCTATTTTGGAGGCGTTCCTGGAGCCCCCGCGGGGGCATCCAGGGTCCCTTTCGGGGCGCGATCGGGCCCCTTCGCCCGCTGAGCAAGTATTTTCGGCATCGTCTGTGGCGATGCCGGCGGCGGCTTCTGACTCCTCGACGCCCTCGCGGGCCCCCGGGGGGGGGGCATTGCGTTCGCTGGTTAGTTGCCGGGCAACGCGCCCTGGGGCAATGCGTCGCCGTGCACGGGCTCATGGCGCGCCCCAAGATGCAAGTGAATCAACTAGTTGTCGCCGTTCAGTTGTCGCGGTGGCCCTCGCCGCCCGCGCGATTGTTCGCGCCGTTTTTCGCGCGGCGTCGCCCGCGCGCGCGCAGTGCAAAACGCGCGTTGTTTCGTGATGGGCCGCCCCGTGCTGGGGCCAAGGGTGCAACTGCACCATTCGGTTTTCGCCTGTCCTTTTTCGAAGTTCAGTTGGGGGGCGTGCATTCGGGGCCGCGCCGCGCACGCGCGCGCGCCCAGAAAGAATCGCGCGTTGCGCCGCAGATTTTCACATTTTCGACGCCAGCTGGCAACGTCCGAATGCCCTTCGCAAGGCGAGCGCGCGCGCGCGCCCGCCCGCGCAATGAGGAACGCGCGCTGTTTCGCGCAGAATACGGGCGAGACAATAGGTTACCGCTTCCGAAATCAAGTTGGCCACTCCGAACAATGGCGGGCCACGGGCGGCGGCGGCGCGCCCGCCGCCTGGCGAACGCGCGTCGGGGAGCTCGCGCTGATTGGCGAAGTGGCCCACCAAGGGGCAGCGGTCAACTTCGGGGAAGCCGCCCGCCTTTCAACCGCTTGCAGCATGCAGTTTGCCTTTCTTCGGGCTCACCTCCCAGTGGCGGCCGCCAGCTCTCGGGGGCTCCGCGCCCCCCCAGCCATCCGAATTGTTTTTCGAGTCCGCGACCCAACGCTGCGCGCCGAAGAATAGAGTTGGCGCCGCGTTACCTTGGCAGCGGCGTTCGAAAACACGGGTTTTCATATGTGCCTTATCGGGGGCGCACGCGCACGTCGACCACGTCTCTAGAGCGCGGGCTCGCGCGTCATGAGGGCGGCGAAGTGGCTCGGCCCCTTGCCGATGGAAGGCGGTTCGCGCGGGGCGCGGGCCGCGCGCCGCGCGCGCGGGGGGGGGGGGGCTGCGTTGTTCGCAGTCGAGAAGCTGCCATATGGGCATGGGAACTACAGCGAACCCTCAGCGGTGCCAGATTTGACGTTGAAGTTTCCATTGGGGTCTGTCGCATGCCCCCCGCCACGGGCGAAGCTGAACTCCCGCGCTCTCGTGCGCGCGGGGGCCTTGCGTTGCCTGCCGAGGGGCCCGCGATGCAAGTGTGCGAAATAAAGTGGGCCCGTGGCAGAGCGGATTTCGAGCGACCCGCGCTGCGCGCGGGTGGCCCGCCGCGCGCGCGGATAATGTTGCTCTGCTCAAAAACAGAGAGGTAGCAATGTTTGCTCGGCAACTTATGTGAGCCCTTAGGTGTGGCCGTTTAGATTTTGAAGTTAACGTGGGTTATGTTGCTGCATGTTCTCGACAGTGAGCAACGCAGGATTCTTGAGTCGCGCGCTCGCGGGGAGTTCAGTTCCGCCGACAATATATAAGCTTGTGCTGCATGTGTTCGGTCTCGCCAATACGCGACTTTCCACTTGCGCGGTCGCGGGGGGCCCTGTATTGTCCACAATAGAGAAGCCGCCATGTTGGGCCGGAAACTAAAGTGAACCTTTAGCGGTGAGCGAGAGGATTTCGGGTGACCCGCCCGGCGCGCGGGTCGCCCGCCGAGCGCGCGCGCGTGGCGAGTTCTGCAATGCCCACAAACGAGAAATCGCCGCTTTGGTCTGCAGAATTCTGCGGGTCCTCTGCGTATGCGGGCATGGATTTGAAGTTGCCATGGGCTGCATATGGACATAACAGAACTCTGAGCGCGCGCGTGTGAAGAGCCCAGTCCTGTTCACGATAGAGAAGTCGCGATGCTGGTCTGGGGCTTGGGAACTAAAGTGCAACCTCAACGGTGACCGACTCGAATTCTGAGCTCGCATCGGTACCGTGGTTTATTTTTAGACAGTGGGCGCTGCAGAATTCTCCGCGCGCGCGTGGAGGGCACTGCAGTGCCCGCAATCGAGAAGTCGCCATGTTGTCCTGGAGCTCTACGTGGAACTTCAGCAGTGGCCGGCAAGATGTGGGGTGACCCGCGCGACGCGCGGGTCGCCCGCCACGCGCGCGCGTGGAGAGTTCAGTATTGTCCACAATCTATAAGTCGCCATGCTGGCCTGGGAGCAGAAGCGGGCCCTCAGCGGTGGCCGAATATATTCTGAGGCTAACGTGGGTTTTGCGGGGTTGGTGCGCCGAGGGGCGTTGGCGCAACGTTGGTGGGCATCCATTGATGGCCGACGTATGCAAGTACACATGTTATGAATTCCTTTAAAGGTGCTGGCAGTGAAAGGGCCCTCACGAAGCAACGTTTCTTCCTGGACTAGCTGTTTTGGGCCTTTGTCAGGTGAGCTTTGGGGCGTGAAACGTTGCTCACGTTTACGCAAACGCCACGCGGTGCCTCTTGATGCCAGAGGACCAGGCCATGTTCGACCCTGCCACCAGCACGAACGAGACGCTCCTCGCCATCTGTGGCGCAGAGGCCGCATGCAGTCGTTGAGTGCATTACTGGAGCTGCGCCAACCATCGCGACATCGGATTAACAGTAACTCTTGAAAACAATTGCCCCACAAAAAAAACAAACAATGCAGGCGGTAGCGCGCGAGACACAGCAATTAGAAACATTCCGCCAAGACAAACAATAAAAGCAAAACAAGCCACTAACGCCAAAACAGAACACGCCTAGACGAACATCAGTCAGTCCACGCAAATCACCGATCCACCGACGAAAACCGATCAAAAGACCGTGGTGGGTAGAGCTCGCGGTGAACGAAAGGGAGGAATGTGCGCATGTGCGTACTTCTGCCAAAGATCTTCTCCTTTCCTCTATTTTTTCTCATCCTCCTTCTCCTCCTCTTCCTTCTCCTCCTTCGGGTCCTGGGGCTAGTCTGGGCTCTTGGGGGCCTATTGGAGCCTCATGGGCCTTCTTGAGCCTCCTGGGCCTCGTTTCTGAATGAACCGCGAGGGAGTTGCAGGCGGGGGCCCGCCTCGTCGGCCCCACCAGCCCACGCAGCTTCATGCCTCAGCAGCAGATGGATGCACCAGCCGAGGCCGCTGACGACCAGACAGAGCCGAGCGAGCGCGACAGCGAGCGCCCGTGCGCCATCCGGATCGCCATCGAGCAGCGGCGCATTGGCCCCCCGGGTATTTGAAGAAGCGCAGACGCCAGGTGCAGTCGTTTGCCGCACTCACTCGCTTTCGCGTCGGCACTGCGGGTAAATCCGCGTGTTGTCGCTGTGGCGGTGGATCGCAGGGGCCCACCACATGCTTTCGCTTTCAAAGGCATCGCGCGCGTTGTCGTGCGCGCACTTGTGGGCGGCGTGGCCCTTTGCCAGCGGTTCCACAGGTCAGCGTGGTTGCGGCTTGCGGTTTAGAGCGGTAGTGTGGGCGCCGTTTGTGCGTCGACGTTTTGTTGCGTGGCGCAGGGGCGTTCGCGCGTGTGGATCGGTTTCCTGCGTGCGGCCATGGTCATGATGTGTTCGTTATTATTATTAGCATGATTCTTGTTATCATTCATTATTGTTATTATTATATATATATATATGCACATCTGTATATTTGTTTCTCCCCATTGTGCTTTGATTTGTTTGGCGTTTTGGATTTTTTTTTGTTTTGTATGCTTTGCGCGGCAATTTTTTGCCGTGTTACTGTTCGCGGTGGCTGGCGCGGCTCAATGCATTGCATCCGAGGCCATCTCCCTAGCGCGGCCGTGATGTCTGTGATGGTGCTCATAGAGAAAGAACCCGATGCGTCAGACAGGATGGTTGAGTCGATCAGCACCTCTTTGGGGTCTGCGGCCCCCCGTGCGCCCGCCGTGGGCCTGGCGGCCTGCGATCGCATGTCCATCGACCGCGAGCTGTGCATCGCGGTCTCGGGCCTCGCCCGTGCAAGCGACGTGGGCGAGCGCGCCCGCGCCCCGAAGTCGCCGGCCACGAGGTGCTGCAGCTCCCCCGCCCGAGGCGCCCCCCCCCTGAAGATCTACCCCGTCGCGCGCGCGGGCGCCTTCGAGGCCGAGTGCCCCGCGCTGAATATCCGCGCCCGCGGGGGCGCCGACGCGACGGAGGGGCGGCTCGAACGCGGCGCCAGGGTCATGCTCCAGGGCCGCGCTTACTGGATGCAGCATGCCATGGCTCATGTACCAGAAGGGGGAGAAGGACAACGAGGACACCATCGGTCTTGCCCAGAGCATCCCGACCCGCGAGGACATCAGGAAGCGCGCCGAGAAGATCACCGAGAAGTCCAAGGGCCGCTGGGGCAGCAAGGCCACCAGAGATGGCATCGCCGTGAAAGGCGAGGGAGAGGGCGACGATGATGGCGGAGACGGAGGGGACTTGCTGCTCGGGCACTTGGCGATCGAAGACGGCCGCGTTGACGATGCAATTAGCGGGAGGTCCGCCGCGACCGGGTCAGGCGGTCTTGATCCGATGGGCTCTGGAGTCAAGATGCCCATTGGCGCTGTTGGGTTCGGCTCCATGGACCAGGCGCCCCACAAGAGGAGCCCTGCAGTCGTTCGTTCTGGGGCCCTCGCCTGGCCCCCCGCGCGCATGGGGTTCCCGAGTGCCGGGTCCGCGAGATGCCCTTGGAGCTCGCCTTCGACGTGGAGAAGTTCGGCACATCCGAGGCCAGCGCGAAGATCTCCAAGAACATGGGCGTGGTTCCGATTTTCTCTCTGGCCAGGTGCACACTGGAATGCCGCGCTCGCTGCGCTTGGGCTGACGTTGAAACGATGGCGGGGCCCGTGGAGGCGGGCGGCCTGATGAAACAGGTCCTCTCCATTATCAGGCCCCGGGGTGCTCCTTGGGGCTAGTTCCAGATGGCTGACCCCCGCGCGTTCCAATGCGGCGGGCGCCCGTCCACCATCGGGAAGTTTTTCGCCGACCGCGTGCTCACCAAGGGCATTTGCGCTTGGATCGCGACGGGACCTTCGAAGGAGTCATTCGCTCGAGTGCACGCGTTGCGGGCTGGCACTTTTTGGGGCGATCTCATCGAGATGCGACCTTGCCTGGGGAGTGCGCCAAGGTTCTTTTTGAGGCCCGCCTTGCCGTCATAATCATCCGAGGCCTCCTGGCGAAAATCGTCGCAGATGGCACGGGCCTGGGCGTCTTCCACGACTGCGAAGAGTTGGAGAAGCAATCGTTGCGCGCGACAGGGCCATGGTTGCCTGTGCATGTGCTCGGGCACGGTATGTTCTCTCAGCATGGGCAGCGCTGGATGGGCCAATGCAACCGCGTGAGGGACATTGCGCAGAGCATGGTCGACCACGGAGGCGCCGTCCAGAAGGCCTTGGTGAAAATCCTCAACATCAGGACCGCCCAGGGGTTGCCGAGCGACAGTTGCATCGGTGAGTTGGCCTCGATTGCCGAGCAGATCCCGTATTGGGAGTCGGTGGTCAACGCTACCGCGTTCGAGTTCCTCATGGGGCGAGTTTGTCAGGGTGGCTGTGGCCAATGCAGAACAGATCACCGGGACATCGGGCACGCGCGTTCTGAAGCAGTCGCCGTCCGCGCCCGATGACGACGCTCAGACGATGCTGTTGCGCAGCATCAAGGGCTTGCTTGCGTCGGTGAAACTGATCGCCCCCAGGGGTGAGTCCGCGCCTGGGGTCGCCATCTCGCTGCAGGACGCCCTCGACAGCGCGGATTCGGAGGTCGAGTTGAACAGTCTGTCGGCAGCGATCGCATCATGGAGCTGAGATGGGGCTGGGCCCACCCACAGGCTTCGCGACGATTTCGAGTCGTGCAGGTCGACCCCCTGGCGGCGCAGATCCAGGAGAGTTCCAAGGGGCTCATGGACAAGATCGCGAAGGAAATTATGATTGACGGGGAGTTTGGCCAGAGCAGCACCTCGACCCACTACAAGGCGCTCGAAATTGCGGCAAGCCATGTCCCAGTCGACCGCCGCCCTGGTGCCGAGCGACTTTCCACCTGGAGGCTTTGCTGCGCGACGCGAACAGTTGAGGCGAAGGCGCCCGGGGCGAGCGGAAGTGGAGGGGGGCCAGCGATGGGCCACGTCGAGCTCGACAAGTTGCCCGCGAGGTCACTCAGGCGCCCCAGCGCGCCCAGCAGACGACAGTCAACGCCGGTGTCATCGACGCGTTCGGCGAGGGTCTCTCCGCGAGAGCGAGCGAGATCACCGGGAAGGCGCAGGGCGTGGCAGAGAAGCTGGACAGCGCCGTGGGAACTCACTTCATTGCAGAGCTCACGACTGCTACGGCCGCGCTGGGGGCGGAGCTCGAGACCGACGAGTGGGCCAAGGCGTGGCTGGATGAGGAGTCGTCTGCCGACTCCATCGCTGAGCTGGTGGAGATCGCTTCCCTTCTGTGCGCCGCCTCGCCGGCGCCGAGCTGGCCTCCGAAGCGCGACCGCCTGCGCGAGAGCCTCGCCTGCCCGACTCAGAGGGTTGCCGAATTCAGCTTGGCGATGGGCGACGGGGCCCAGGCAGCGGTCAAACCGCTCGTGGACAAGGCGCGGCCATCGAGCATCAGCCACGAGATTCTCGGGCACTGCAGCGGCCCGCCCCTCTCGAGGGATAGGGTGTTGTTCCGCAACAAGATGCAGGCGATCCAGTCGAAACTCACGGATTGGAGCGTGCGCCCAGAGGACGCGCGCCGCGCCCTCGTCCAGCGCTACAGGGCGGGGCTCATGATGCAGTGATCAGTTTTGGCGCGGGGGCACTCCCTTGGGGCCTCCCCATGTCCGCGCCTCATGCTGGACGGCGCCTCTCTTTATCTACACCTCTCCACTTCTCAGAGGGGTGCCCACTATAAGCGTGGCCACGGTTGCTGACCTGCCGACCCGTGGCGCTGGTGCCCCGTCCGTCCGTCGGGGATCCGTTGTCGCGCATCGTGGCGCTCGTTTGGGAGCGCCGCGTCTGCGACTCGGGGCATTGAGGTTGGATGCGGGGTGAAAAGTTTTTGCCAACCTTTGAAGGATAGTAGTCGCTTTCAGGTCCGTTTTGCATGGCGCACGGGCATTCCATCGGCGGGCGCTACGGTTTTGGAGCCACTTGGCGGGTGAAGATTTGCCGCTATTTACGCGACCCACACGGTTGCGCAATGCGCCGCGCTTCTTCGAACGAGAAAGGTGTGCTTTCGCATCGGTTAATACATGAACACATGCGTGAACGATGGTTGAAACCGAGGATGGTGATCGCAAAGCATGCAAGAGGCTGCGTTTCCATCGATTCACTCTTTGCTTTCGGCGTGGGCATTGCGATTTTCGTAACGGGAATGATGTTCTTGCAGAACTCGGTCACTGTAGTTTGCATCTGCGCGATCGTGGCGCGTGGATATCGTGCACAGAACCGTTTGTCCACGTGCATCAACAAACCTACACTCATGAGACACATGTTTTCATGTTTTTGGCGATCCGCACACACGCGTCCAATAATCAGTCGCAAAGGTTCCCCTAGGATGAAATTTTGTTGTTGCTTATCCCACAGAGTGTAGCGCCTACGGCCCAGTACAATAGTAGTAGTAGAAGTCGTAGTCGTAGTCGTAGTAGTAGTAGTAGTAGTAGTAGTAGTAGTAGTAGTAATAGTAGTAGTATCAGTAGTAGTAGTAGTAGTAGTAGTAGTAGTAGTAGTAGTAGTAGTAGTAGTAGTAGTAGTAGTAGTAGTAGTAGTAGTAGTAGTAGTAGTAGTAGTAGTATAGTAGTAGTAGTAGTAGTAGTAGTAGTAGTAGTAGTAGTAGTAGTAGTAGTACGTAGTAGTAGTAGTAGTCGTCGTAGTAGTAGTAGTGGTAGTAGTAGTAGTTCGTTAGTTAGTAGAAATAGTAGTAGTAGTAGTAGTAGTAATAGTAGTAGTAGTAGTAGTAGTAGTCGAGTGTAGTAGTAGTAGGGTAGTAGTAGTAGTAGTCGTCGTCGTAGTAGTAGTAGTCGTCGTCGTCGTCGTCGTCGTAGTAGTAGTAGTAGTAGTAGTAGTAGTAGTTGTCGTAGTAGTAGTAGTAGTAGTAGTTGTTGTAGTAGTAGTAGTGGTAGTAGTAGTCGTAGTAGTAGTAGTAGTAGTAGTAGTAGTAGTAGTCGTAGTAGTAGTACTGGTTGTAGCAGAGCAGTAGTAGTAGTAGCAGTAGTAGTAGTAGTAGTAGTAGT